GAAATGCAAGTACATTACCATTTTTTTACGGAACACGTCGCCATACATGTTCCAACCCCCAACCTGGAGGGCCAGGAGACTGTGTTCGTCGGACCTCTACCCATGGACCAACCTGGTATGAGAGACTCTGTGAGCATCGTGCGGACACTCCCCAGTATACCTCAATGGGTCGCCGAGGTACACAAACCGCCACACCACGGTAAGGTCCAGTCTGTTCGTGACGGGGTAGATGCATCAGATGGTACTACGAATAGCAGGACAGATCGTTATGCAGTTAATTGCGCGACCAACTGTTAGTAATTACCAGTGAAACTGTCCAACCCAGGCATTACATCGTCGAATGCTATGACCTAAACACTGAAACGAAAGTCAATTCCGAAAAATATTATGGACGAAATTAAGTGGAGGCTTCAGTTCTATCAAAAATTAGGGAACAGAAAGTGAAATCTGCGGACACGGGTAAGGCATTTGTAGTGAATGCTGAAGCCTATGTGTGATAACAATCATGGAAAAGAGTCATAGTAAGAAGAAGGATGAAGATTTACTGCAAAACTTCCTATTTCCTAGAAAGGTAGTTCAATAGATTCCGAAAACTGACATCAACACATTTGGTAACCATGTTGCAGAAAGATGTCATGGAAAGGATTGGTCTAGCATTCTCACTTAACGCAAAATCACGATACAACGATAGACTTGAGATGAACAGTCACGACACCATGTAGACTTCGCCGAGGAAGCTCTACTTACTCCCCACCCCCCACCCCCGCGGAGGAGAGGGTATTCCCACCAGATTGGAAGAATGAAAGCGGATACCCGTCGCAATACCCTAACTGACAATCTAGGGTAGATAGACCCAGAAGGGAGGATAATAACTGGACCCAGTGGATTGAGCGGAGAACATTACTCTGGGACTTCAATGACCATGATAACCGGGATGCCCAGTCATTCTCTGCCTGTTCCTTGATGCTTTCCATATGGCATTTTGGTGCGCAAAAGTTAGTGGTGTACTCTCAAACACAGGTCCGGTGGCCCTAGAGATGCAACCAGTAAAGTAACCATTGAAGCTTCAGCGAAATTGTCTATTCTAACAAATCTCGTTCGCGCTACGGCTTCCCCGGAAAGAGACGTTTCTGTGCTGGTCTAGTGGTTTAAGTGACCAGAATGCAGGACAGGATCCCCGACATAGAAAATAGAAGTTTTACAACTAATATGACTGCATTTTCTTACTGACTGTATCACAGCGGGCAAGCCAACAATTCAGGCACCCACAGCACTGTTTGCACGAGCAGCCGAACGAATAATCCAGCCATCAGAAGCGTTTTCAAAACTCACAGTGGTTCATTTTGGAAGCAAGACGCTCAATCCACTTACCAACTTGGTATGAGGAACTCTGTGAGTTTCAACGTTAAACCCTGCAGTATAACTCATTGGTTCACAGAGGTGCACAAACGCTACGTCGCGATAAGGTTCAGTTTCTTTTAGCGGGTTTACCCAGAAAAGCAACAGAGGCGCGCCTCACCAATGCGTTGGTGATATCGTTCTGTTGGGCGACAAATTGTGAGAACTTTGACGCATTCTAGACAATCTGGCTCACTATGCGGCACTTGTAGGGAGAGAAATGAATAATATGAAGAATAAACATCTGTGTCTGAAGGACCTATCAACATGCACTGTGAAGGGACATAATCAACAGGCGAGAGGAAGAAGGACAACGTCGGATGAACAGTGCCAAAAAAGCTTTCGTACAGGTGTACAAAGCATTGTCGAGAGAGTCGAACCTTCAGCGAGGTCTTCCATCCGGTCCAAATCTACGCCTATGGAAGTTGGCCTCTACAGACAGAGGATACTCGGCATCCAGAAATTTGTTCAGTATTGGTGCCTCCAACGAATACTAAACGTTCGTTACCAGCAAACCCGAAATTGCTATCACGACCACTTAATACAAGTTCCTTAATCACGAAGTCTACAGCGGTTTGGGTAACGATTAGGCACCAGCAGAGTTGAAATTCCCAGAAATTCTTGGCCCAGTTACATACCGCGTGTGGAATTGTCGTCCCGGAGGACAATTAAAAACGTGGTTTAGTACAATAAAAAATATCGAGAAATTTAGGATGTGAACTCATCCTGACTTAGGTGATGTTCCCTTAGAAGTAATTGAAAGTAGTCTCACAAGCATGAGGCAGGCCTGATCCAAAAGTTAGTTTGTAGACAGAAAATGAGAAACCAGCTTCAACTATAATATGAGACCACTATGAACCACTCCACATACCTTCCGGGACAACTGTTTACCGGAGAAATCAAGCCAACTGAAAGTAGGCGGTCCACGAGCGTCCCAATGGGGGTCACGTTGCAGTTCTATCAAAAGGTACAAGAAACACAAAAACGAGTGAGAAGTAGGCAAACAAATGTTAAACACTAAACAATGACACATTGGGGTCAGCAATGGTGCTTCAGTATCATACAGCCAGGAATGCTGATATCCTTGAACACATTCCTTCACCTTTCATCACCTTCCATTTTGATTTTCGGAAAGGTCACTGTTCGACTCTACGATTACCGCTAACCGTCTGTTTCCTGATTTGTTCAACTATTGTGCGGAACATGAAGGAGGTCGGGGTGTTAACAGTGACGTTTCCTTTTAACGGCTCAAACCCTTGAAACATCACGGAGTGGACCGTTTTCTTGGCGTGCGACGTATTGTCACCAACTGATTTCGCCTTGTTGCTACCATGTCTAATCAAACCTTGTGGGGTGTTTCTTCCCTGACAACGCACACACCAGAATTGGTCACATCTGAGTATCAACTAAGACTATCACATCTATCAATTTAGTGACAGACGAAGCACAAAGTTTCCGCTGAGAGTTTTCACCACATCATCAATATTTCCACTTACTTGATTTAGGAGTCAATATTCCATGCAACCGCATTTTTAGAAAAAAAAGCAAAATACCGTTTACCGGCGGAAGGAATCTATTTCGCTCAGATTCCAGTAGGCCGTCTTCAACTAACTGTAGAACTGACCCATAAGTTATTGCATCAGAAAAGCCTAGGAGAAATTGGTGGGCAAGGTTTCACCTTCGACACAGAAGTTCGCGCGTTAACAAGTTGACATGCATACACACACANGCTGAGAGTTTTCACCACATCATCAATATTTCCACTTACTTGATTTAGGAGTCAATATTCCATGCAACCGCATTTTTAGAAAAAAAAGCAAAATACCGTTTACCGGCGGAAGGAATCTATTTCGCTCAGATTCCAGTAGGCCGTCTTCAACTAACTGTAGAACTGACCCATAAGTTATTGCATCAGAAAAGCCTAGGAGAAATTGGTGGGCAAGGTTTCACCTTCGACACAGAAGTTCGCGCGTTAACAAGTTGACATGCATACACAGAGCGGTTCTGGATAAGTCAGTTGAGAGTTTGCGAGTGTAATAAGGAGTTAGTAGGAATCACCGACAGAAACTAGTTGAACCTGAAGCCCAAAGCATGTAAGCTCCTCCCCTTCCTTGCAAAGCTCCACACACAGCAACAAACTTTACAACTGAAACCACGGAATAAATTAACAACTAGTGTTCTAAACCGTAAGAACAAGGCCGGAAAATCCTACCCAAATCGATGTTAATTCCATCACCTAATCCGAAGGTTGTAAGGCATAGTCACTCATTCAACTGCCTTAAAAATCGAACACACTGGTAGATTGTTCACTGGCCTGAAGAGGCGTTTGTATCAGAAGTGAAACGTGCCGCGGTAATAAACCGAGACTGTTCAACAAGCTCTGCCGAAAAGCTTTAATTTTATCCAAAGTTTAGACCGACATATGTCTATACCTTCCAAACAATCTCAACGAATCACCAGCAAGAGATCTAAGAAGTTCGCTTATTCTTTCAGATGAATCAGTATCATTGAAAAGATAATGAAGGTAAAGTTAGTAGAACTGGTTATATGGGTGATCCAACGAACGAAACAATGGCCGAAATTTTAGCTTATCGGAAAAGCAAACAACTTTAAATGATAACAGTTCCAACCAGCAAAGAGACGAGTTGGTCAGTTCTTCACGATAGATACCACCGAAGCAAAACTAGTGTTCGTTTAACACTTACCTGACCAGGGCTTCGAAGGCATGAGGCGAGCTCCTGTAGACTACATCCCATCGGATTGTTGGAACTACGAAAAAGGTCCAGCAGCTGTTGTTCAGCTGTTGTTAACGCAGATGAAGTATCCTCAAACTGCCGAACTTGCGAAGTACTCAGAGAGGTATCTGTTGAAACGATGTGCTGATCTGACATAGTGACCTACAAACGAAATAGGTACTGTGGATAACCGCATACAAGCGCATACGAGGAAACGCTAGGTGATGAATCATTACTAGGCAAAGCCACTTGGCTTAACCAGAAAAAGTTGGAATGGCAAACATAGATGAACTGGCAGTGATGCTATGAACACAAGTGTATGCTAATGAGGTAACAACCATCACCTAGTTGGTCAACAAGGAGTTGGAGGTTGGACGCGCGGCTATTGGTCGTGAGTCTACAGACCGGAAATATCATATCGGTGTGGTTAGGACGAAACAACAGAGCTGAGAAATCGGATGTCACAAGTAAGTGCTACGATTATTGGTCTTCTTTCACTATTTTGCAAACACAAACGTTGGTTTTGAGGGAAGCAAGTAAGGTAATGAGTGAATAATGTCAAGAGTGGAATTTTTATATCGCCTGTGTTATGAACTCGTAAACCCGAGAGTTGTAGATGCCAGGCAAAATACCAAACTTGGAGATACGAGAATAAGAAACTAAGTCGTTGTCGTGTGACACTCCTGAACTCAGGACAACTGACAAATTATTCGATACTCCTGAGAACCTATTTGTTTTAACTTTAGATAGGCATGAGCAAAATGAATCCCGACGGTTCACTGGCAGTTATAAGCCCAAACGTGATCATTCGCCTAACAATTCTATAGCATAAAGTGAATCGAACTCATTGTCAATAAAACACGGCCTGTTCGTAACGACCAAAAAAGATTATTAACCCAGTTAACAGTGATTACTTAACTAATGTTGTTAGACTGCATGAACCTCGGAGAATTTTTTAGATTGGCAACGATTACTCTGTTTGTAGCCACGTCTATAGCCATTATCAGATAGGTTCACAAACTTAGGTGATCCCGATCAACATAGCTGTCTTGGTTATTAAATGGCAAGCAACGGTGAACAACATTTTACTTCAACATGATACACTGGGAGGATCACATTAACCAGAAACCGACATTTCGCTTGTGTCAAGATTATGTCTAAATCGTATCTTAGGTAACTCGTTCACAGTGAAAGGCAATGAGTACACTCCTGATCGGTTCAGAGCATAAATTCACCTTGAAAGATCACCACAGGATGGACTGAAGAGATAATATAGGTACACACAAACAAACATCGGAAACCTGAGATTAAATGCATTTTTAATGAGTAGTCAACTGTCCCGTATTTGGTGGCTCTTTGTCTAACCAGCCGCCGTCTTATTCAGACAACCTGGCTGCTGCGAAATGGTCAGATTATTTTCATCTAAATATTTTTCATACCGACACGGAAGACGTGCCCCATGTGAATGTCACTTTCGGAATCCATGTGTTCTTTAATGCGTTTGCTTCAGCTCAAGTTTTGATGGAAGCTGTCGCTTGTAATATATGTGTTCGCTTGGAACAGTGGTAGTACAAACTAGAACAATAACAAAACTACGCTATCCTCTATTTACTGATGCGAAATAGCCCAACAGCGAACTACGGTCCGCTTCCACCGAACAGAATGTGAAAAAAACTACATTTAGTACAATCATCGAATTTATCTAACACTACGTCCTCTCTTTTCAACTAGGTGTTCGAGACACTAGAGTATGGAAGCCACCCAAGACCAGACGGAGCGACTCGAAACACTACCTACTTATCAAAACCATTTGTTCGTTTTTATGATTGTGGGGCTTATCACTCTGTTACCCTTGACCATACTAACGGCAGTGATGACCATCCGTACCGGAATACCAAAACTGTGTCGTTTCATTTGTTTGTGTGCCACAATGGCACTGGCTGCTGGAGTGACGGCGATGCTACTTCTTTATTTTGCGCTTGGGCCGAATGACTTACAATTGGCACGCGGTGACCAGATAATGATTGGAGAACCGGGTGATGGGTACCTCATAGGAGCAAACCAACTTCGTTCGCTGGCTTGTAACAGACTCACTATACAAACGACTGGACTAGGGGTGATTGCATGGGCGGTCAGTGTGTCGCTCAATCTCGGCCAGATGCAAAATTACAGTCTAACATTACATAACTGGACTTTACCTGCACACGTTAGATTAAGACTAAAACGGGGAGATCGAATGGGTATTCGAAACTATACAGCGCCTATCCGGGCTGTGATTTTGCAAGGTGAGAGTGCATGGAACAAGTGGATTATATCAGAAACACATAAGTTCGGATATGAAAAGTGTTGTGCGTGGAAAGAACTAGACACCTACTCTAAGGATTACGGAACCGTCGAAGCGAACGAGGATGAAATATATACTGTTATTATTCGTCAGGCAGACAGTTCATATAAAATTCCGGGACCTCAAGTAATGAGTGAAAGTTACACAGGAGCTATTGATTTACAGCGAGTCAGATGGGCCCCCACCCCATGCGACCCAACTATATGTGATGGAACAAGTAGAATATGTGAAACTGACAACACACCAAAGAGATATGTGATTGACTACGCAGTAGAAACTATGACTGCTCCACCCTACGATAGTGTGCACGTCCGAGTGCTCTGCCATCCGCGGCACTGGGCCCTCGGTTTGATATTCAGCGTCATACCCATATTGGTCGCTACCTTGACACTGATCGTGTGGCGAACTCGAAGGAATGCTAAACAACTGAAATTCCTGGACACTGTTCTTGAAAGGACTATTCCAGCAACACATACACACGGTCAGCAGCAACACGTCGATTATCAGGACCGCAATAACCCAGCATTTGAGTTGGATATTGTGTGAGGCTTACCTGTGCCACAGTCACTTTCACAGCCTTGGACGGTGATTTTGAACATTCCTTGTTCCCATAACACAGAGCGTCGGCCGGTGGCATTCCAAGTTCCTCCGCATAGCTAGACAGTTTGTCGTCCAAAAAGTCACACAACCTTGGACCGAACCCCTCCAATATTCTGCACTCCTTACCGCTTCTGAGCATTAACGGATACTTTATTAGAGAGGAGAGAGCCTGCGTCCGGTATGTCAGGCACAAAAATGGAGCCTGCCTTTTTGTACGTATGATATGACTTCAATTCCTTCGTGAAAGCTTCATTCATCGCCTTTGTGAGCCAGTATTCAAACAAAGCATTGTTCCGCGTTATTCTTTTCTTATTTGATTTTGCTGTAGAAGTAATGGGCATCCTGATAATCTATTTAGTATTTGCGAAAGTTAGGACTTTCGATTACTGAAAGAGAGAGAGAATTTGTATTGGAAATTCAACCAAACGTCAGATTTCAGACCATCATGGTTGTGCTGCGTTCGCAAAACCAGACGGAATACCAATGGACTTAAATGGTTCGATATGAAAAAGTACAATTTCAGTGTTGGACTGAACAGTTTTCCCTTACGAATTGATTATGACATTCAGCTCAAGCGTCTTTAATTATTCAACCACGATGGCCTGTAAACATGGGTACCGTAGTCCTGGAAAAGGTACTGTATAATGAAGTTTCCAAAACATAGTAGACAGCAAGCCGTTATTACCCGAGAGGCTTGCTGATTTAAAACGATGAGACTCAAGATCGTATATCTGTTAATCTGTTTTTTTTTAAAAAAATTCTTCAAAATAGTCGTGCCCAAATAGTTTAAGATTGAGATTTACTTAAAATGTTAGAACCCATCTAGTTGCTAGACAACCACAAACATTTCCTGGCATTTTCCAATACAATCACGATAAGAATATTCGTAACAAGTTCTGTTAACAAGACGCCTTCCCGTCGTCGGATTGAGACGCCACGCTAAGTTACTCTCCTTGACTTTCTAGAAGATAAATTAGAAAGAAGGGATATGACTAAGGCTATGCAGAAGCTGAAGGAAAGGCTTCGACGTGATCGTACGCAAAAGTTGAGCTTGCATGAACATGAGTCAAATGCCGATTGTCGGAGTAACAGGTGGTACAAGGAGTAGCTCATCGGACAATCCTAAACGAGAGATTCAGCTCGCTTCAGTTGAGTCTCCCGTCAAGAATTGATTCGTGTACAAATGAGTACTCGTCGAAAATCATCCCGAGAAGAGTGAAACTATTCGTAGGCTGTCGAAGGGCTTTCAGCAAACGTACGAGTGTTGCATTACGTCCAGCCAAGCAACTCTCCAGTGCTGAGTAAATGGTGAAAGAAGCCATCAATAAGTTTACTTGTTCTGAACAAAAGCGAAGTGCAACGATACCATGTTATTTAATGAAAATCATTCGCCGAAGCGATGATCACCGGCACAGCTGAAGGGAGGGAGACAAGATAGATCATTTGCACATTCACATTTTGTAAATGGCACTACCTGCATCGACCGGATGCAGCATAGGAGACGTCACCATCATCAGTGTCAGCTGTAAGAACAGCGTATTTATCGTAGTGGTTGTAGCTGCCACTGTTTCGATCACCGATGATTTGGGGAGGTGGAGTAGATAGCTATGTATTGGATGCGGGAGCTGATAAATCGGTGCGTAAATACGGCTCTGTCAGTGGACTTTTAATTGGGTGGTTGGAAAAAGAGCTATGCATTGAAGGCGATAGTTCGGATTCATGAGCGACATTGAGAGCGCGACTAGGCCATGTCTGAAAATGTCTCCAATAACTAATGTGGCCCGTCTCGGGGTCCCCAACCAGGGAGACGGCAATGACGAGCTGGTAGTGGTTTTTATACTTCGCTGTCAATGTTTGACCACCTCTGGTCCTTCATGTGGTTGTGTGAAAATAAGGAATTCGGTCGACTGGCATATGCAGCATGTGGCCAAGCCAGATCAACCGATGCAGTGTGATCAGTTCATCTACCGAGGGTGAGTTATTTTTTCCGAATACCATTCGACGTAATTCAGTATTGCTGATCCGGTGTTCCCACCGGACTCGGGCAGTGCTCCGAAGACATCGATGGTCAAACACTGAAAGTCTTTTGACGTCCTCATCGCGCAACAGCCATGTTTCTGATCCGTATAGTACTATAAAGCGCATCGCAGCATTGTAAACTAGACCCTTGACAGGGAAGCTGATGTCACGCATATGCCAAAGGTGACGCAGGTTTACAAAAGCTGCTCTGTCCTTCTGAATCCGGAGACCACCGGGACTGATACAGCTGCCCCGGTAAACAAATATGTCTACTACCTCAATCGGTTCATCCGCACGCAAAAGGTCCGGGTACGAGCCCACCTAGCCTTGCAGTAGCACTCTACACTTTGCAGATGCGAAGTGCATGCCAAACCGTTAGACGGAATTATTACGATTATTTACTATTGTTTGAAGAGCTGTCGTCTGCGTACTCGATATCTGTGAGCAAACGCCCAGGGAGCACTTCGACTCCACAGGCATTAGAGGCTGGTAGTGAGTCTTCCATGACCGTATCAATGACGAAATTGAAGAGAAAAAGGTGGAAGAGGACAGTCCTATCTGACATTAGCTAATGTGCTGAACTCAGGCGAAAGCTTCCAACAAACCTTTACACCATCGCGGGAGTTGGCGCACAGCGCCTTAAGGAGGATCACGAATTTATGGAGGACACCTTTGCTCCGAAGACACTGCCATAGTGATTGGCGGTCCACAGAATCAAAGGCAGCTTTCAGATCAAGAAAGCACTGTTGGTTGCTGGAGGGAGAAATGTGAAAGGGCTGGGTCCATCCTTGGCGTTCTGAGATGCATAACAACACTCGGGTCTTGTATACGTGTTTCGGAGACACAGCATAAGTCAATTTTAGGGAGTGTAAGGTTTCAGCAAGCATTGCCTGTTTACTAATTTGACGTAGATTACGGACGTTAAAAGCTCCTATATAGAAAGGATCTCGTGAATTTAGGAGGGTTATTTTGTTTATTACTAGTAGGCAGCGAGGAACATAAGGCCCTTCGGTCAATAACTGACAGTCAAGTGACCCAGTGACGTTAGATTGTGTGGTGGGAGGGGGTTGGAGAGGGACATCGGTGGACACCGAACTTTCCGGTTGCCCAGGCCGAGGAAGGTTTGGTTGATGTTTCCAACCTTGAGTCTTTGACTCAAACATCTGACCCACAAGGCAGTTGGACGATGTAGGGTTTTGTTCGGGGACCCCGCCCCTAGCCTCTGACTCATGAGGCAGCGAACAGTAGGGTTTTCTTAGGGGACACTTCCCGGTGCTGTTGACTCAATGGTCTGACCTGCTCGGCTGCAGAGGGTTGGCCTAACCCGAGGACGCAGGGAATAAGGCATTATTGCCTCATGCCTGATGCGGCTGCGCACAAAAGGTGCCTTTTGAGCAACACCAGACTCTTTGGTTTTAAAAGTATTTCGACCGTATTAAATAATGCGCCGGTGGTCACGGTCAACCGTTGGCGACTGAAGTGTGTGGCTTTGAGGGCCGATCTTTTCTAGCCCATCCTTCCTCGGGGGAAGGTAGCATCGCCGCTTCCATAAATATGGACATGTCGGTCACCTGGGGGAAACATTTTACCACCTCCACAATCCTGTCGTAGATGACAGTACGACTTCACATCCAGACCGCCTCGTAGCACGATTAGTTGTAGTATGGAGTCTCGGCGCTCTTGGTCTGATTGCTCCCCTCTGGCGTTCCTGGCACGGTTTCAGCTTGTGGAACGACGTTCCAGCTAGCGTAACCCGCAGGATCATTGCAGTACTTAAGCCCGAGCACCACGTCAAGGTGGCAGCTTTAGGTCGGGCAGCATAGGACATTCAAGAATTCTTTATTTCAAGATAAGGTACCGATCATGTATGAGTGTGAGACGTGGCCTCAACAGATGGTTTCTCCAGCTCGTCGAAAACCAGTCTACCAGTTGAATGGCTTGTGCAGCCCTGCGCCAACCCTCAACCCAACAACCAGGGAAAGAATTTGTGGCTATAGAGCAAGAAGTCTAATGAATAAAGTATCATAGGCGGCGGTGGCCTCACCATGCAGTGCGCACTCCGAAGAATCGTTGACTGAAAGAAAATTTGTGAACAATGTGGAGCTTGTCCCTCACGAGTATGTCTCTCCCGATCACCAACCAAACTGCAGAAAATGCACCTTGGGTATGGCCGTTACTGGGCTGACGCCACGGCGGTTTTCGCACGACCTTCTTGGGCTCCGTTTTCCGAAGAATTGGATCACGGTCGAAGAGCCCCATTCCAAAGATATTCTGTCATCGCGCAAAACCTTCCAAAGTAGGGTTGTCAGATGGCTCACCAGGACTTTAACAACTTTGAACAGTGTGGGGTGCAAAACTTTACGCCGAATGCCCTGTCTCGTTGGATAGATGAGATTTCGATCCGGACTTCTGCTATCAACGGCGGCCTGGTGTCGACCTTCTAATCAAATTTGTTAGGTTCTCCCAAAAGTTATATTGAAGGATTTTAGCTAAAGTTCTCCTTAAGGCGTTCAGCCCTCTCTCATGACGAAGCGAACAGTAGGGTTTTCTTAGGGGACACTTCCCGGTGCTGTTGACTCAATGGTCTGACCTGCTCGGCTGCAGAGGGTTGGCCTAACCCGAGGACGCAGGGAATAAGGCATTATTGCCTCATGCCTGATGCGGCTGCGCACAAAAGGTGCCTTTTGAGCAACACCAGACTCTTTGGTTTTAAAAGTATTTCGACCGTATTAAATAATGCGCCGGTGGTCACGGTCAACCGTTGGCGACTGAAGTGTGTGGCTTTGAGGGCCGATCTTTTCTAGCCCATCCTTCCTCGGGGGAAGGTAGCATCGCCGCTTCCATAAATATGGACATGTCGGTCACCTGGGGGAAACATTTTACCACCTCCACAATCCTGTCGTAGATGACAGTACGACTTCACATCCAGACCGCCTCGTAGCACGATTAGTTGTAGTATGGAGTCTCGGCGCTCTTGGTCTGATTGCTCCCCTCTGGCGTTCCTGGCACGGTTTCAGCTTGTGGAACGACGTTCCAGCTAGCGTAACCCGCAGGATCATTGCAGTACTTAAGCCCGAGCACCACGTCAAGGTGGCAGCTTTAGGTCGGGCAGCATAGGACATTCAAGAATTCTTTATTTCAAGATAAGGTACCGATCATGTATGAGTGTGAGACGTGGCCTCAACAGATGGTTTCTCGCAGTACTTAAGAGCACCACGTCAAGGTGGCAGCTTTAGGTCGGGCAGCATAGGACATTCAAGAATTCTTTATTTCAAGATAAGGTACCGATCATGTATGAGTGTGAGACGTGGCCTCAACAGAT